AGGGAAAAATGTGGATTTTTATTTCTACAGTGCTAGACCTTTTGCATTTTTATTTTGTGCCAAATTACAGTCACTGTTACATTCTAGTGTTTTAATTCAGTTTATTGTTATTGATCAATGTGTATATTATATATTTTTATTATCAAGATTTTTATTTTAATTCATACTAACCTGTATGCAAACTAACTGTGGATTGCTTATTTATATATAAAGGGGAGCACTTGGAGACATTGTGAGGATTCCCCTACTCGGTTTATACTCTTGTAACCTAGCACAGCTAGTCCATGAAACTCATGGCTTCTTACACAGAATGTTATCCTGGGCGTCTGTCACCCTGAGCAGATGTCTCCTGCTGTTTCTAATGGTAGCACTGATGCTGCAAGGATGTTAGATGTGACAGGAAACAAAACACAGCTCATGTCATGGACTGGTGGGTGACTTGGGCTCTCTGCTCTCCTGCTCCTGGAAGCGATCCCAGGGAGACAGGAATTCCCATTTGAGTGTAACTTTGAGGTTTTGCTCTGCCCTATATCCATCCCTAGTCAATAGACAGTTGGTTTTGCCCCACTCTCTCAAGATGCTTAGTGCTTGGTTTTGTAGTTGCTTTGGGAGGTGGCTGTGGAATACAGCATGAGGCACAGTGGTGTCCTTCACATGAAGTATACCACAGGCAGTTTGTCTTTTTTGGCTGTGGAGGACAGGCATAAACCTACAGAGATCCCAGTTTACAGCTCTTTAATACATGTGTCATAGCACATCTCTGGCTGTGCAGCACAGCCATGGAGGTTTTTGACTGTGCTGCATGCAAGTGCCGCCTGGACTGTTATGCCCAGAACAGGCTGGAGGACACAGGTTTTGTGTTGAGAAGCTGCACTGCTCTCAGTTTCTGGACTGGAGATAGCCTGAGCCATGTCCTCCCTGTGAGCTGTACTGAACAAGGCTCAACTGTGCCTTTTGGGCTCTTCCAGGAGAGGCCTGGAGAGGACAGTGACATACACAAATAAGTATTTTCTACTTCATGGTAAGCAAGTTCCACTGTATCAGTGTTCACTCTGAGTAGACTCCATGGTCTGTCTCCAGCTGCATCTGTGCACTGCAATGTAATTAATTGCCTCAGAGAAATAACTGCAGTTGTCTCTTTTAGCTTTTCAGGGTAAATTTTCAGCCTGTTGAATCTAAACATTAGCCATGCGATGAGATGAATTAGTCAGAAGGCTTAAATTCCTCAGAGCTGCAAATGTACCCTGTGTTGCAACAGCTAATCCTTAAATATAAATTGTGCACTGACAATAATCTGTCTATGCAAGCCTATATATTTTTTTCTTATTTTTGACTGTTCACTATAATTTTACCAGGTTTGGCATAGAACTTCTGAATGACATTTAACCAAAGTATCATGTCTGTATGCGTATAGCATGTTTTGCTTCATACTCCTGAATTCTCATTGAATGTAAAGGGAACATTGCCTTGCCCCATTTTGTTCAATAAACCGCTGTACTTTGTTATCCACTGCATCCTTCTGTCCCTCTGTGTGCTTTTCTGGAACCACTGAAGAGGGTTACACAAGAGCAGGAGAAAACAACACTTCGTTCCACCCTTGGCTGCTG